AATGGCTCATAAGAAAGCAAATAAGCCTAAAGAAGTCCATCACCAACTAATTGGGACTATTGGGAAAGTGAGCGATTTCAGGTGCAATTATATTTAGTTTCACACATGCATTTATGTTCATTTGTTTACTTATTTAGTTCGTTGACTATATTCATTTATATTTAATTGTACATTACAGAAAAGATCTAAGGTAGCAGTTGACAATAAATCCCAACAAGAGTTCATCTATTTGTTTGGCTCCAAATCCTTTATTCAATGTCAAAGTAAAAACCAAAATAGATGCATTTCTATTGGGAAATAGCTTCAATTTAATTTAATTGAATCTTATTCTTACTTTTTCTAATAGGGTAATGAAATTTGAAGACTAGATAAAATTCAGCTATGGAAGAACACACATTACAAGAATATCAAAGGTTGGATCAATTCTGTAGCTGACGAGAAATATGTAATGAACAAATACTTATTTCTTTAAACTTTATTATTACTTAATGAAACAAATATTTCACTCCCTTATTTGCATTAATACTTTTCTAATGTCATACAGAAGGAGAAGATAGACATAAAAATCACTCAAAAGGCACTTGCTGACATCCTTGGGCATTTCCTCTTGCTACTATAGGGGCTTGGGCAGGGGCCCAAGGGTTCCACGTGCTACATCTTGCACAGACACGACTCAACGAGAGAATTCTGAACTTCGCCAAGTTATGCATAACTTGCAGAGCTAAAATGAGCATATCGTGGTCTCGTTGGAGAAGATTATGCCTAATGCTACTACTAGAATAAGCAACCTTAGAGTGCCTACTACGTATCCGTCATCATCACCTAATCACGAGTCATGTGATTATTAGTTTACAGTTATCTTCATGGTTGATTCTCTATTATAGCTTATGTTACTTTTGGACTACACTATCTTCTCATAATTTGGAACATGATTAGGCTTTTTATTGCATATGCTACTATTTTGGACTTTATGTGTATTTAGTTACTCATATTTTGGAAGTAGAATTGACTTGTCTTTGATATAATATATAATTTTTCCTTACATGTATTTTGCTAGAGTCTTTTGAATTGTGACTGTTGCTTTGTGAAATAAAATAGTTCTTGATTTTAGATTTTTGTTGGTGCATTGTGTTTAGGGATGTAAATTTGGCTTGTCGACTTGGGTGGCCAATGGCTTGGCCAGAGAAAAGCTTGAGCCGAGACTCGGGTCGAGCCCAATTCTTGGCATCGGCTCGAGCCCAAGCCATTTCAACCAGAGCCGACTTGGTAAATAAAAAAAATGACAATAAAAAAAAAATTATACACATACATTTAAAATTGCCTTAACAGGCAGCAAATCTGAAGGTAAATGCCTTAAACGACAGTTATCTAGAAGTAAAAAAAAAAATTGCTCGGCTCGATAAGGCCTGAATCGAAAACTCATGTTGAGCCTAGATTTTTTTTGACCGAGCAAAAGCTGGATTCAGCTCGGGCCAGAAAAAAGCTCGCACTATTTTACTCGAGCCGAGCCCAAGCCTCGAGTTTCGACTCAGTTTGTTGATATGCCTAATTGTGTTTGAGTTGTGCTTTTAATCTATTTGAAATTTAGATTATTGCACAGGTTTAAAAAGAATAATTGCATACATTTATCGATTCAATATAGTCTGCACTTGCTTAAGTGTTCTTGGTTGGAAAATGTATACTTTTCCCGACCAATATGGAATACGTAAGCAAAAATATTAATATTTGTTGACAAACATTTCAATTTTTACCAACCCAAATATTTGGTTAGCAAAGTTTTTTCTATTCCTGACCAACGATGAATTGGTAACTAAAATATCTATTCGCCAACTAACATTTCAATTTTACCGACTAAAGTATTTGGTTGGCAAAGGTTCTATTATTCCTAACCGATAAGGAATTGGTAAGCAAAAATATCCATATTCGCCAATTAACATTTCGATTGCACGGACTCAAATATTTAGTCAGCAAAAGTTCAATCACTCCCGACAAACATAGAATTGGTAAGCAAAACTCTTCATATTTGTCGACTAACATGCATTATGGTCAGTAAAAACTTTTGCTGGCCGACCTTTGGCGATCAGCTTCCGACCAATATTTTCTAGTTAGGAATTAGTTTTATCGGTTGATAATGGACCTTTAGCTGCTAATCTTTTGGTCTGTAAAACTCACTTTTCTTGAAGTGAATGTTGGAAGGAGATGTGGATAATCTCACCATGCCTCCCCATCCCGTTCCAGATACAAATGGGACAAACTCCATTGTAGGAATACAAGGAAGGCCTCATCAGACAGTACTCATCTTTCAGCTGAATCAATAAAATATAGACCAAAACACCTTTTATTTCCAACCCAAGAATCATATTTTCTCTCTGTGACTGACATTCTATTTAACTTACCACCAAAGAAAAACAAATATGAAAGATTTAATGACGGCAAATAATTACACTTGTTTATTTCATATGTCAGCACCACTGACTCCATTGCATTCTTTCGGTACATGCAAGAGGTGCACTGTAAAGACAACTTCGGAGGTTTAAAAAGTAAGATATACCTTGTTCTACAAGTAGTTAATTTTAAAAATCGTAAAGCTCTAATGCTAAGCATAGAATATGCCCTCTTTTTTTACAAGGAAAATTCCATTGTCCCTGTACACTTGCCACATTCTGACTTATAGGATCTTTGCTTTTGCACCCCAGTAGATTTAGTTGCATTAATACCTATCCTTTTAGTACCATGCTACTCAACCATAGAGGTTGACATTGGGGATGACATACCCCACACACATGGGGGAGGTCGAATTATTTTATTCATGACGATCCACCACCTCGGATGTGAGTGCTATGTCATCCATTGTGTCAAGAGCTATGTTCATTTGGCTTAATTCATCTTTTTATCCTTGCTTTTAAATTCTTCATAACTTTTCCAAATTCATTTAATTTTGGAATTTTCCAACTACTATCACAATAAATCATTATCTGCTATTTAATGTATTCTTGCTACCAATTAAAAGAATGGAAAATACAATCCTTCCAGATGGATGAAAAGACTTTCCCAGTCGCTATCCTTTTCTTCAGTTTTCGTCCCTTCCTATCAAACAAAGAGACAAGTGCTACCGTCTCGATTCATGGTTTCTTGACAAAGAGACTTTTCTTACTACGACTAAGAAACCAGTCTAAGCCCCATAGCCAGCATTGACTCTGAGTCATTCCAAGAGGGTGAGAATGAAGAGCAAAGACTTTTCAAGCAATAAATAACAAATTTCAACAAATAATAGATACCACAAACCAATAAAAGAACGAGTCAAGCCAATTGTACATCACTTTCTTGTTAGCTTGTGAGGTCTTTGTCATTTGATAACAATTACTGAGTAATGGACATAAAACAGTGCAGGATTAAAAAATAAATAAAATAAGTGGAAGATTATTCCATTGATAATTGCTTTACAATATAATAGATTAACAGAATCAAATTTCTAAATAAGTGCTAATATGCAGTTGACAACGATGTAGTAATATGTTAATTATCAAAGTAGAATTGGTTAGATGAAGACTTAAAATGTCAAGGTACAAACAGAAGCTGTCAAATAACGTTTTTTAACTAGATGTAATATCACAGACACTTGGGCAATTTTAAAGGAAGTGGAGAAAAATTCACCTATGGGCGGATATGACATCACTAATTGTTAAAAGTGCTCGTAAAATTCGTAAATATATCCACAGAAAACATGCCATAGTAACACATGAAACCAAATGCCCGATGGATCAAAAGTCAGATTGAATGCCATCCTCACCATTCTTATACCTTCATATTCTTGATATTCACTCTGACAAGCTCTACCTAAGTCGAGAATTCTCAAATGGAGCCGAGTTAGTTTTTAAAAAAATTTAATTTGATCCAAGTAGAAAGTACGATCATCTAAACTTTTCGAACCTCAACCCATAGTGAAGCCGCTCTTCTATTTTTTGAAAATTTTGTTGACTCAACTCTAAAGTAATGTTCCAGCCAAGTGTATTTTCTCAAATAGTTATCATCTAATAAAGTCTCGTGCCCATGGCTTCTAATCGCTAAAAGATTGCTCATGCACCATGCAACTTGTTGCTAAGTTGTGAAGTGATCATAGAGCCCCCAACTACTAAGACAGACAATCACCAATTAGGAACATTTAGTGCATGTTTGGGCAGTATTAAGGAAGAGACACAAGTACGTGATTTTGTAGACTACTGTGTACAAAATGCACAATTGAATTAATCCGGATTGCCTTGAACTCCATCTGTATAAAAACCTCTACGAACAAGATTGAATTTTTCCCGACTACACAGAGGAAAAAGATAATAGCAACTCTTTGAAGGATTCAATGAGATCATAAAATAATAAAAAGAAATTACCTTCGTGTAGCCTTGCAGGTCTTCTTTTCAGGTGATCAAAGAAACCAGAATGACTTGACAAGTTTAAAAGACAAATTCTCCTGAATTATGGTATGCCAATCATTGCAACTTAATAATATTAAAGAAACAATTAGTTAAGGCATTTTATCGAACAGTTTCTTCTCACATTTCAAATCGCAAGTTGTCATCACTCACAAGCAGATTGGTACTGTTACGTGTTGGCATACTTGGCCAATCCACTGGGGCCCGTGGTCCACACATTTTGAACCATGTGGCATGATGTCCGAGGCCCCTTGGCCAACAAAGAAGATACGACATCTAGAAACAATATACATTATGTGGCCCAAATGCTAAGGCCCAAATATCGAAGCCGAACTCCAGAAACACCTTTGGCATCACTCCTCAACAGAGATCCGGTCTTACACAAGAATCTCCTTTGAATGATTGATGGGATACCCATCATAGAGTGTAAGTGTTTTGTCTTACCAAAAATAGTGACGGCTCTGCCAATAAATAAATGTATAGCAGGTTAGGTAGTCAAATATGATGCCTAGAATTTGACATGTAAACCAACGAGATGAGGCCATGTGTACTCCCAACAGAGGGCCACGGATTAATTTGTATTACTATAAATACTCCCCCATACATCCAATGTAGGACTAATGCAAGACTCAATATACATTTTACTCTCTTTCAATACATATGAGTTCACATACATATTCTATAAACATCGATTGGTAATTATTGTACAATCGTTATACAAATTTCTCGTTGGATTACGAACGTTCTCGTTCCGCGCTTTTGAGCGGCTCCCACGTTCTTCATCTGTTCGTTCCAGACCGTCCACGTATTTTATTGTGTTGGACCAGGCTTGCGTGTACACGGGTGGGTCCGATATCTGTTGGCAACATATGAGGTCAACAGGTACATTCCTTGTATAAAAGATTGTGTTTTTCATTCCTCTCATATTACTACTCATCATTCATTTAAAAATAAATAAAAATCTGTCAAATATAATCATTACAGTGGCTCTTTTGGGATTTTTTCCCACTCCCTCATCCAATTTTCTCTGCCACTCTCTCCTTCAATTTTTGACCGAGGAAAAATGACAATTCTCGGCCAAAGAACTAACAAAATTCTATGATGATGAGTTTGTACATGGATGGAGAAATGTGTCATGTTCATAGATTGTAGTGTTGGGCTTGCAAGTGATGGTTGTGATTATAAACTTTGTGAGGTTATTGCCAGTAGGATGTAACGACTAGATATGTTATATAGGTTTCAAAAATCAGCTTGTTAAGGTGATCAATCTGCTTATAAATCCACAAGACAAATCTTTATAGATTATCAAGAGTGATTAGAAACCCTAATTTTATACCTCGAGAACAATAAAATCGTAGAAAGAAAATAAACATATAATATTATGCAAGATTTATAAAAGTTCTTTTCAATTTGAGTGTACGTCATCATCCACTGAAACAATAATTTATTATGTTGAAAAGAAGTTTACAAGAGAAAAATCGCACCCTCTATTTTCAATTACCTATCTTTCTCTTTTTTATGACGATTACAAGTTGGATTCGTATATAGGCTTGTACAACAACAATAACTAGACTCAATAGCTTATTAAAACACATTCATATGATTGAAATGAAAGCATCAATAAGATAGATTCATCAAAAGTGACAATTTTTTAGGGTTTGATTTGAATTCTATTTGGAAGGCTATTTGAGAATTCTAGTTGAATTCTATTTGAAAATTATTGCTGGAATTCAATATAGGAGTTTAACTTGGAATTTATGATTTGTATGAGACTTGAAAAAGATTTGCAGGATTCCAGTTCGCAAGAGAAGAAGAAATTGTGCAAGGAGAAGGTCGGGGCTTTTTGCGCGCTCAACATCCGCTTGGTGAGGCGGTCGCTTGAGCGATCGACTATCAATCGATAGTCGAGTTTGAATTCGTTCATTTGGAATCTGGGTTCTTCGACTTCATTTTTTTTAATGGACCTTTAGCAGTTAATCTTTTGTTAGCAAAACTCACTTTTCTTGTAGTAAATGTTGGAAGGAGATGCGGACAATCTTACCATGCCTTCCCATCTCATTCTAGATACAAACGGGACAAACTGCAATGTAGGAATAAGAGGAAAGCCTCATCGAATAGAGTTGGCAATCATATCAGAATCAGAGTGACATCATAAATTTGAGTGAAGTTCAATGTTAAAAGAACAACGGAGTAGTATCTGTCAGCTAAATCAATAAAATATGCGGACGAAAGCAGCTTTTATTTTCAACCCAAGAATCATATTTTGTCTCTAAAACGTGTAATGTGAGAAATGTGAATGACATTCTATTTAACTTCCCACCAAAGAAAAACAGATATGAAAGATTTATTGACGAAAAATAATTACCCTTGTTTATTTGATATGCCAGCACCAATGATTCCATTGCATCCTTCTAGTACATGTAAGAGGTGTAAAGACAACTTGGGAGGTTTAAAAAGTAAGACCTTGTAACAAGCAGTTAATTTCAAAAATAGTAAAGCTCTAGTGCTAATCATGAGTTCAGAATATGCCCTAGGAAAACTCCATTGTCCCCGTTCACTTACCATGTTCAAACTTGCGGTTCTTTGCTTTTACACCCAAGTAGATTTAGTTGCATGAATACCTGTCTTTTTATCCTTGCTTTTAAATTCTTCATACCTTTTCCAGATTCGTTTAGTTTAGAAACTTTCAAACTATTATCATAATAAATCATTCTCTGCTATTTAAATTATTCTTGATACTAATTAAAAGAATGGAAAATACAATCCTTCTAGATGGATGAAAAGACTTTCCCAGTCGCTATCCTTTTCTTCAGTTTTCGTCCCTTCTTATCAAAACAAGAGACAAGTGCTACCGTCTCAATTCATGGTTTCTTGACAAAGAGACTTTTCTTACAACGACAAAGAAACCATTTTAGGCCCCATAGCCAGCGTTGACTACAAGTCATTCCAAGAGGAAGACAACGAAGAGCAAAGACTTTTCAACCAATAAATAACAAATTACAACAAATGATAGATACTGTTAACCAGTAAAAGAACGAGTCAAGTCAATTGTACATTACTTTCTTGTTAGCTTGCGAGGTCCTTGTCATTTGATAATAATTATGGAGTAATGCACATAAAACATTGCAGAATTAAAAAATAAATAAAATACGTAGAAGATCATACCATTGATAATTGCTTTACGAAAAAACATATTAATAGAATCAATTTCCAAATAAGTGCTAATATGCAGTTGACGACGATGTAGTAATATGTTAATTATCAAAGTAGAATTGTTTAGATGAAGACTTAAATTGTCAAGGTACAAACATGAGCTGTCAAATAATGTTTTTGAGGTGGGTGTGGGTTAGTGGAGAAAAATTCATCTATGGGTGGATATAACATCACTGATTGTTAAAAGTGCTTGTAAGATTCGTAAATATATCCACATAAAACATGCCATAGTAACACATGAAACCAAATGCCTGATGGATCAGAAGTCAGATTGAATGCCATCCTGATTCCTCACCATCCTTATACCTTCATATGCTTGATATTCATTCTGACAAGCCCTACCCAAGTCGAGAATTCTCAAATGGAGCCGAGTTAGTTTTTTAAATTTTTTAATTTGATCCAAGTAGAAAGTACACACATCTGAACTTTTCCAACCTCGACCCATGTCACGATCTTCTACTTTTTGGAAAAAATTTTGACTCAACTCTAAAGTAATGTACCTGCCAAGTGTATTTTCCCAAATAGTTATCATCTAATTAACTCTCCTGCCCACGGCATCTAATCACTAAAAGACTGCTCATGCACTATGCAGCTTGTTGCTAATTTGTGAATTGATAATAAAGCCCCCAACTACTAAGACAGACAATCATCAATTAGGAACATTTAGTACACGTTTGGGCTATTAAGAAAGAAAGACAAGTTCGTGATTTTTTAGACTACTGTGTACAAAACACATAATTGGATAATCCTGATTGCCTTGAACTCAATCCGTATAAAAACCTCTACGAACAAGATTGAATTTTTCTCGACTGCATAGAGGAAAAAGATAATAGTGTTGGAAAATATTTAATTTAAGTTTTAAATTTTCAAATTAATAATTTGTTGTTTTATTTTAATTTCAATTTAATACAAAATTGAATTAATAAAGTGTAACATACATATTATAATTTGTGGTAAGTTTCAACTTTCAAATTAAAACCTTTTAATTTTAAGTTTTAACACGAAATTAAAGTACCATAATGCATATTATAACTTATGTTTTAATAGTATAAATGTGGGGGGTTGAAATTTTACTTGTAAAAAGGTGATTGGATTTTGTTGACCCCAAAAAGTGTTGCCAACAGATGCCGGTCCCACCCGTGCACACGTGGGCGAATGTTCAACATGCTAAGACACGCGGACAACCTAAAACGAGCGGTTCAAAGGGCGTGGGAGTAGCCCAACGACACGGGACGGTGACGTTCGGAATCCGACAGGTTGTTCGTGGTCCGATTGTACAATAATTACCAACCGGTGTTCGTAAATGTACATGTAAATGTGTATAAACTCGATTTGTGTATTGCAAGTAAATGAGAGAAAGTTGAGTAAAGTGTAGTTCCTTGTATTGATTCTTGCATTAGCCTTTTGATGTTATACAAGGGAAGTATTTATAGTGATACATGTGAAATGGGAGTCTTTGGATGAGGTGGCACGTGACCTCATCTCTTTGATTCAAACATCTTATCCTAGGCATGGGGCTTGACTTGCTAGCTTGCTGCTCATATATTGCTTTGTGCAGAGCCTCCATACTGGTGACAAGACTTGACCTTTATGCTTATGACAAACGTTCCATCAATCATTCGAATAAGATCTTAGTGCAGACGGTCTCTTGGAAGAAGTGACCATGGAGGATGCTCCCTTGTGGTTCGGAGGCTCTTGCATCAGTTTCGGGGCTTCAGCTATTTCATACAATACTTCCACTTGAGGGCTTCAGATAACTTCAACAAGTTTCAGCATCATGGCTTCGGGTCATAGGCCTTGGTATTTCGACCTCGAGTACATTCACAGGCCTCGGTAAAAGGGGGGCCTCGGCTAGTGGACCTCGACTTGAAGGGCTTCGGCCATAATCCACCTCGGCAATCTATGCCACCTCGGCTGGAGGGCCATGTGGTTTGCCCTGGGTGGGCCATTGGCCCAGGTAGGTTGGCCAAGTATGACAACACGCAACAGATTTCATTGTTGAATATATCATACAACTACTAAAAGTATTATCATCTCCATAGCTTCATACTATATTCTTATACTTTTCACAACTTGATGTGAGGCTTGTTCTTTATCTCCCCATGCTTGTGCCCATAGAAAGAAAGCTACATGAGTTTTATCTTGGAGCCGTGTATTGCCGAAAGAACTCACACGAAGGAAAGGCAACACAACTTTAGGACAACGTCCTCGACGTGACTTCCAAGACTTACTTTTCTAACCCTCTTCTTATGTTTATATTATTTTGAATCATGTTTATGTTATTTAATTGAATTGTGTTTATAATTTTAGTTGATAAATTTATCTACACACAAATCACCAATTTTCACAATAATCTAAAGTCGTATTGGTGATTTGCTTGTAGATTAAATGTTGTGATCAAAAAATTTAAAAGGCATTTTCTTGATTTGACGTATGTGACTAAATTATATTTGCTAAATTATTAGATTTACTATTTGAATAACAATGAACATTACATGCTCTCCAAAGGTTATGAATTAGATTCATGTGAACTGACTTCTTTAATAATTGAGAATGACTAATGTTTGAAGGAAAAATAATAATAATTCTATGATATTAATCATAATGGTGACTGGGACAGATTCTAATTTATATTATTAGAATGGGGAAAAAAAGTGATCTTGTACTAATTATATTTAATTATAATTAGAATTATCCCCTTATTTGCTCTTATGTACTTAGAACTTATTATTATTATTTTAAATTTCAACGGTTGTACTTGATTGATTCTAATTTCTATTGTAAGTAGAAATATTTAAAATTTATGCCTCAGCAATGTAGGAATTTATGTATTTTGGGAGTGAAGAAATTTTTTTTATGTAGTCCAATAAAGAATAGTGGCTGAAACAACAAAATGAAGCTAACTTCGAAATTCAGAAAGATTAGGTGGACATAAAAAGGGTGCAAGTAATGGGCCACATATTTCAATTTTGACATTTTGTATCCTGTGCTTTGTAATAAAACTTTGCCTCTAGCTTTAGTAATTTCCATATTGGTGATTAATGAGAATGGATAGTTGAAAATCATAGTTATTGGGAGAAATCTAAATAAAATTCCAAAAACTGAGAACAAAATGCCGAAAATAACTTCAAGTAATAATCACAAAGAAGGTTCTACATCGATGTCCGCATATGCGCTCATTGTAAGGCATAATGAACCTCGACGTGAAAAGCATCAAGGAAAAATATTTTCCAAGGTATGACGGTCAAGTTGAAGGTTAGATTGTGTGATTTTTATTTAGTTATTACTATTTGTGCATATACAGGTAATTTACAATTATTTTTGTCAATGACTATGTGAATAATTAATCATGATATAAGTTTGCTAATGATATTCTCAAATTAACTACTTGCATATATGTGGGAATAAAAACTTACTGAAGAAATTATGCTAGAACATAATTGTTATTCGTTTCAAATTTTATTTGTTTAATTTAACATATTGGTAATAAAAGTTATAAGTAAATGTTTCAAAAAGGAGTTCTATAAATTTAAATAGAATAAAATGTTGTAACCAAAACTTAAATAATTGAGGTTATAATATTGTAATCTATATGTTGGAGATTTTTAAATTTCATCTTCATTGATCGGCTTTACAAATAATTGTTGTAGAATGAATATTAGTTACTAAAGAGAAAAAAGGAACGGAGTGATATATTGGTAATCATATGGTGTAAGACGCAAAAGGGAAAATTATTTGCTAGAATCTCACCTGACTTTGTTTAATTGAAACAATATTTCTTTGGAGGACTATTCAATTTACTATATTTGAAAATTGGTTTATGGTATAATAAATTGCAAATATTTTATCTAAGGCCTATTTTATGAATGTGAAGGCATGTTAACCATATTTGATACTTTATGGTTATGTTAAAGAATATTGTCCAACATTTTGTGATACATAAACATCATTGTATTGCATTATGTTTTCCAAGTGGGAGAATTTGTAAATTTTTATATTTGGACTAACAGAATCATTGGGCTCATAAAGGTATTGCCAAATGGATTAAGTGATAATCTATTTAATTAATTTTAACCAATTGTCATAAACATTGAATTTCACTTCATGTATTAGATGACATTTTCCGGCTTTTTAGTGAACAACACCCTATCCTAGATGCACGAAGAAGGCCACTTTAATATGTGACAAAGAAGTGCTACAAGTTGGATATATTTGAAATATGGGAGTGTTTAAAATTTCACATAAAGATGTCTTATATGTTATTATTCTTTGTAAATTGACTCTTGAAATGTATTAAAATTTATATTGAAAATTTGAACGTGAAAGTGAAATGCAAGAGTTCAATGGATTTATCTGCTCGAACATATTACTAGAATCAATATTAAACTTTCGTTTTGTTCATCTTACTAAACTTAGATATGTGATATTGATATTTTGGAAATTGTAGAAGTTTTTGCAGATATGCAGGTGAAGAATAA